AATTTTTCCAGGGATGGGGCCTCCACCCCCTCTCTGGGCAACCTGTTCCAGGGTTTCACCATCCTCATTGTAAAGAATTTCTTCCTTATATCCAGTCTAAACCTCCCCTGGTTTAGTTTAAAACCATTACCCCTTGTCCTGTCACAGCTGGCCCTGCTAAAAAGATTTTCCCCATCTTTCCTATAGGCCCCCTTTAGGTATTGAAAGGCCGTAATCAGGTCTCCCCTCAGCCTTCTCTTCTCCAGGCTGAACACCCCCAACTCTCCCAGCCTGGCCTCAGAGCAGAGGGGCTCCAGCCCTCGGATCATTTTAGTAGCCCTCCTCTGGCCCCGCTCTGACTGTTCCATGTCCTTCTTGTGCTGAGGGTTCCAGAGCTGGACGCAGGGCTCCAGGGGAGGTCTCACCAGAGTTTTGACTCATCCTAGTCCTCTTTGGATGGCCTCCTCCAAACAGCCACCTCCTGACGGTGTTGGTGCCATCAGCTGTGCCCCTATCATCATCCTCTTACCCTGGAGACTCATTTTTCCCCCCAACACCCCCTGGCTCGTCCCCAGAGAGAGCTGTGCCCTCCTGGCTCTGCTCCCTGTTTCTCTGCTACCCTCCTCAGAGCTTCTGGGTGCTGCAAGACTCCTGTTGCTGTCATCCGTACTAGGTGCATGCACCTTGCCGCCTTCTTGAGCCTGTGGCTTCTCCTCCCTTCTTGGGTGTAACGAGCTCTTCTGCTCTCCCCAGGTCCTCTCCCCCATGGCTCTTGGGGGCTGCTAACTCATGTCCCACCAATTTGCATGACCATGGTGGACTCTGCCACCTCAGCACTGACTCCATGTCCTTTTTTGTGTGGTCCCTTTTGGTATGGCCCCTTTGCTGTTGCACCTGAGCGCGATGGGAAGCCCTGAGCATGGCTGCTGTGTTCACAGGGAGGTCTGAATCCCCTCCTGGGGTTAGTCTTAATGTTGGCACCGAATCCCACACCCATGGGGCCACCAGCTCCTTGGTTGGACAGGAGGTTCTCAGGTTCAGGGAGGAACTCCTTAGCTGGACACCCATCTGCCAAGGCTTCTCAGTTTCAGGGAGGACCTCCTTAGCCCAGATTGGAGAGGACCAGGTCAGGGGGGACCTCCTTGGTGCAGGAGGAATGGACACGTGGCTACTCTGGGTGGCTGGTCCTAAATTTTGGTGCCATCATCTCTCTCTCTGGCTGAGAAAAGATGGGATAGGAGTTGGTACCACCTTCTCTTTAGGGTTGGAGAAGAACCCCTGCCGGCTCCTCTCCTGTCATCGAGGCCATGACGTTTTGCTCTTGCCTGCTCCATGCATGGACCAATGGGTCATCTGGCCTTGGCATAGACCTTGGCACATGTCCGGCTACCTCCATGCTTCCTCACCACGCCGGGCCAACTCCTCTCCATCTCCCAGCGCGGGGCTGAAATTTGGCTCCAGCTCCCTGCTCTGGGTCTGGGGGTTGGAGAGCATCACCTCTGCATGCCCCAGGGGTGCCTAGGGTGAGCCTGGGGTGCTGGGTGCAAGGAGGGTCAAAGGAGCCCAAATCTGCCGCCATCCCACCAGGCTGGGGGTTTGGGGGGAACTGGGGTAAAACAGAGCTGTCTCCCTGATGCACGTGCTGCCTCCCACCCTGATTTCTCCCCCCAGTCCCTTTCCACTTCCCAGTGTAAATGACACTGGGATGCTCCCCCCAACCCTCCAAAAAAAAAAATAACCCCACACACAAGACCCTGCACGGATCATGAGAAAACAAAAGAAACGCCAAGGCAGTTTATTTACAACGTTGTGTACAAAAAGGACAGCTCGTGCCACAGCAGAACAGCCCCCTCCGCCTCCTTCGCCCCACTGCCCCCCCCACCCCGTGCTCCCCTACCCGGGCTGGTACCCCCGGGACTGCGGGGTCTCGGGGTGAAAGAAGAGACACGGTTCCCTCCAGACCCAAATCCACGCTTGGAAAGCCTGGTCAGGCCATAGCGGAGATCAACCCTGCCCTCAGCGTCAGGGTTGGAGGCTGATGAGGCACTGGGACCACTGCCTGCTGGTAACTGGGAGAGGAGGGGGCATCCCCACCGCCCCCGGTGGAAGGCAGACGCTCCACCATCTCCCGCTGGGAAGGATCTCACGGCAACGTCTCTGCTTTGCTCTGCCAGGTCGCCCAGGGGATGGCTCAGAAGCTGGGCTGGTCACGAGCTGCTGGGGGGGTCCCAGACCGGCCTCCCTCCTGCCCTGGTGTCACCAGGACGTGCCATTGCCATCCCCAAGGGCTCCCTGTGGCTGTTGTCTTCTCCTGCTCTCCAGAGAGGCATCTCCATCCCACCTCTG